CTGTTTCCCAGGGGCACAATGAAAAAACCTGGCACCAAAAAGTTGTTTGACTGGGTCCATTACTACCGTGGCAGGGTGTTCACCAAACCCATGTTGAAAGAAGTCGTCCGTGTCTTGCTGCGAGCCATCCCGAATATCCCAATGGATCCCTCGAAAAAATTTGGGCATTTCGTGAAGCAGCAAAGCAAACGGCTTGGTAATTTGATCCGGCAAGCAAAGCGGATCAAGGCATGGGGCTTCCAAAATCTCACGAACAAATCAAGTGATATGGATTTTTCAAATCATTAGCTGTGTAAGGTTTATATGTTTCAGAAAACTGGCTCAAACCACCCCGTATACGGCTTCCCTGAAGGAGCTGGCACCTGAGGACCGAAAGAGTCAGAGAATCAATTAAAGTTGGACGTCATTCAATCTTCTTTCAACTCACAGATTCATAATTTCCCCCATTGCCATCCCCAATCTCCTTCATATCGATATATGCTCGCAGGATTGCACCATGGACCAGCTGGAGACGCAGCCATGGGCCAGAGCCCCAACACATATACCTCAGATTGACATCGCGCAAGCGGTTTTCTGTCTGGCCAAAAGAAATCATTAAATAGCACTGCCTCGTCAGGAAACTGACATGCCTTTGGATCCTTTGGAGGCCGTATTTTGGGTTTTTCAACATTGCAACATTCTGGAACCGAAACATCTTATTTTGAATTTCTCTTGAGACTATTTTCGTTTATGTGTTGGATGTGGGTCTTAAAATTTATAATCTGTATTTTGTAGGTCAGCGCATGCGGACCAGGTGGCTGGGAGGACACCATTTTTGCGTGCTTGTGCATGTGTGTGCCAGAACGTGTGTGTGTGTGTGTCTGAGCGCAAGCATCGGAGGATACCTGGGAAGATGACAGCCCCAGTCTTCGGGTCCAGGCAAGGTTGTATTCTTGAGTTGACTTGATGTTTTAGTGCATTGGTCTCATAGGCTTTTCTGCCCAGTCATTGACTGAGATTAGTGATTAGTGTTCAAAACACATTCCCTTCCAGGAAGAGCCCTTGGCTTTGGAGACCAAAGCGGATGAGGCTTGACGTTTGACTTTTACTTGCACTTGCTGACGCTGAGTGTTTCGGTTTCTGTATTTCATGTTCCAATTTCAGGCCACATGGGCTGCAGAAGAGGCTATGCACGAGGTCTGCTCGACTCACTTGCTAGCTTACATTCTATTTCAAGTTGATGGAGAATAATTTCAATAGACTATGCATGAGGTCTAATTTCAAGAGACTATTCCTCGTTAGGGTTTGTGTTAAGGATGGCTTTGTCGCAGGACTGTTTGGACGACGCCATGGACCCATCTCACGGAGCTGAAGACTCGCAGGACTGATTTGTTTTTTTCTCAAATTCAAAGTTTCTGTTGAGGGTGCTTGGGCAGTGTGTGTGGCATGCAGGATGGCCCGGATCAGGTGTGCATATGTGTGTGTGCCTGTGCCTATTCAACCGAATAGCTTGCCGTTTTTCTTCCTTGACAATTTGGTTTGAAATATATATATATATTATATTATATGTATATTTATGTTTATCGTATTTATATATATATATATATTATTGTTTTCAAGTGTGTTGCGCAACAGTCTGTATGTCAAATTTCATTTATTCCAGCCGCAGGATGCATGGCTGCATGAGTTTGGCGATCCAAAGGCGGACAGCGGCTTATGTGTCCATTTCTGTTTTTGTTGACTTGGTCCTCTATTGAAGTGTTTCCTTTTTGGGTTCTGGGTGCAATGTTTCTTCCAAGACTGTTTGGCTATACTGCTCCTTATCACTTTTCCATGTTTTTCTGGTTTCAGGCCCATCAAAGCCACGAAGATGATCCGCAGGAGGCAACTGACTTGGTCAACATCTTTGTGCATATGTTTTTGGTGTGCCAACTGTTAGGCCAATATCAGTTGATAAAAAAGAGAGAAAGAAAGAGGGTTGTAGATAAACCATGATAGACCTGAATAGTGGAATACAGATATGGGAATACATGTCTTGATAGAAAATGTGTTTTTGTTTTTGCATATGTTTGTATATGGTATGCCTGGTACATTCAGCAGGGGAGACATGAATTGAGCTGCAACTGGTAGGTCGCAAATGATGATGAAGCAAAAGAATATGAGTTTGAGGCTGGGTAGAGTATGCGCTGCATCTGCATGTGTTTTTACTGGTGCGTGGTTTGAGGTTTTGGCTGATGAAGCTGGAGATCTGCAGGCCTTGTCTTCACAGTACGTGCTCTCTTTTTCCCCTGAAAATTTGTTTGACTTGTGCTAAGGAGGCTGCAGAGGAAGTTCTTGATTTCCTGGGATTGGACGCATCTGATCCTGAATTTGAGGTGCGCATGATTTTTTTGTGTTTTGTCAACGCTATCATGGCATTGCCGCGACTACACACGATCTTTCTTTAGATGTGCATGTTGCTGGTTCAGGCCATGTTTGGCGGTGGGGGTGTTGACGGCTGGGGCGAATTTGCGGCCGGGGTCCAAAACTGCATGCATATGCGTTAGTGCATTTTTTTTAGTATTCTTACGGCTTTCAAGATAGTGCACATGAATGAGGACTGGACAGAGGAGAACGATGAGTGGGTTGAAGATTCAGAGTGGAAGGCTAGCGCAACATTTGCAAGAGACTTCGAATTTAATATGCTACCTTTGCTGTGACATCTGAAATGTATAGGCATGTCTCACATTGTTGTCATTTGCCGTTGAACTTGTTCAGGAATGGAAGCTGTGGTCTGTCAACGCCTCAAAAAACATGCTCACCTTTTGTTACTCTCAGCGGTCTTAAACTGTTGCAGCTTTCTGGATTTGGATGGGTTCATGAGAACAACATTTTGCGACCAACCATGTTGGTTCAAATTGTGACATGCTCTAAAGTTATGGGATGTACTAGCGTGCTTGTTTCAGAGCCTGAGGACGACCAGCAATGGCGAGTATTCGATGAGGAGCTGCAGGCATAAGCATGGTTGTGTTGATTCAACGTTTTTATCCAAGTGTTTCTGTCTGCATACATGGATGTGTGTGTGCGTGTGTATTTGTGTGTATGTTTTTTGCTTGAATGCACGTGCAGGCCTACTTCACCACGACCCCTGAACAGAACAAGGCCATGAAAGCGATGATGAAGCAGCTGATCTATGAGGGTGTGGTGTCGGAGACTGAATGGCCACGCCTTCGAAACAAGTGGCTCAAGGATCCAAAACTTCTTTTGTTTTGCAAATATTGGCATGAGTCAGGAAGTGTTCAATTTATATATTTTCAGTTTCAAACTTATGAGCGCAATTTTTTGTTGCAGGAGGATGGATGCTGCCCACCTACCACATGCAACGGCAACGAGACTCAGGACCTAAATGCTTTTCTGGCATCAGGAATCATTCAACTTACACTTGTGTGTGTGTGTAAACTGTCTTTGCAACAGGATGGACGCCATGACACCTGCAAGAAGAACGCCCTGACTGATGAGGACTTCACTGCTTCTATGATTTCATTGCCTTAGTTGTTGAACTTCTCATTTGGTCCTGTGTGATATTTTAGAATGTACTTACAACACTGTTCCCCATGCCACCCCTATAGATCATAGATTTTTCCACATTTTTGCTCTATATAATTTCCTGTGCCAGGAGTCGCATATGGAGGAGGACGCCTGGGAGGACGACGCAGTGGCAAAGGACCACAAACTAGCTTGTGAGATCCAAAAGTGGGAAACCGATGCCTTTCATGGGAATGCCACCTCAGCCCATGCACCCCAGCCTGCTGATGTCACTCCATGCCGTTTGACGGAACACTTTCCGGACTTGGACACCCCACCTCCAATTCCAAACCCGCTCAAGAAAAGCCAGCTGGCTGCTGCCAAAAGGTTAGAAAAGGAGTTGAAAATGGCAAAGGCAGAGAAAAAAGAAGGTGTGGAGGGCACAGAAAAGGCCAAGGGAAAGAAGGCAGAACGTGACAACAAGAAGCCAGGCAAAGGCAAGAAAAATAAGAAGAGTAAGAAACAGAAGCATGAGACTGGGAAAAAAACCAAGAACGCAGCCAATGGACCAATGACAGAGGCAATGAAGGAGTTTGTTCAAGCTCGCCGTGGTGAAGGTGTTTCATACAGAGATGCTATGAAGCAGTGGCGCACTTCCACTGAACGCGCAAGCATAGTGAACAGCTTGAGCCCCAGTGAGCAAAAGCGACGTAGGTACACGTAGATAGAAACTGTCTACACGATGTGTGTTGGGCCAGGGGATCACTGTCGTCAAAGAATGTTTTCATGTTTCATTTGAAAGCTGTTTGATTTTGTTGAGATAGCATGGCACTGAGTGACCAATTTGGCCGTGGTTTTGAGTTGGAAACTTTTGGAACATGTTTCAGACAGCCACCGGTGCTGCCTGCTGTGAGCAAATCTCAGGAGTGGATGTAGGGAATGAGAATGAGGTTGGGTGAGGTGTGTGTATGTGTTTTGATAGTCCCCAGGCTGTAGCTTCTCTTTTTGATTAGTGACCCATTGTTTTCCAAATATTTCTAAAAAACAAGCTTTGTAGCTGTAAACTTCGTAAGGACCACTTTGCCCAAGCGTATTCTCTTTAGGATCCACGTGTGGGCTACTTGGCATAGCACAGGTTCTTGAGACCCTGTGAGGCTGAGCATGTTGCGTTGCAAAGCAACTTAGGAGCTTGGGGGTTCACCAAACACCGAGAGGTAGAATGTGAAAAAAAAAAGCCTTTTGCCTATACAGGGTGTGTTCGAGCAAAGTATGTGCTTATCAAGTTTCGGTTGATTTCGGTAGGTGGCATTCTTGCTTGCTTGCAGGTCTTGTGGGATGCAACAGCTACGCGATGAGTGGCGCACCAGCCCCACCTTGTGCCTGATGTGTGTTCAGCTTACCAAGTGCATGTCTGGATTGGGCAATTTTTCCGTTGAGATATGTTGAGATGGGAAGTAACCCAATGTTCCAAATCAGCCGTGTCAGCTCATGGGGTCCTGACCTTTTTGCTGCAAGCCATGCGGTTTGCAGAGCTGGCAACCCTTTTGGTTGTTCTGCTGCGTGCGTTTGGGGAGGTGGAAAATGAAAGGGCCACTCACCTCCAGGAGGATTGCGCTGGGGTGGGTAACATCGCGTGTGGAGCGCGCTTGTTCCATCTCAGTGCAGCACGTCGTGATGTGGCTTGTTTGAATTGCCTGTGGGATTTTCCAATAGCTCAAGTGTTAAAAAAACACATAAGTTTGATCTTGAAACTTTGTGGCACAGAAAAACGGCATGTGTGTATATATATATATGATGCTGTATGCCAACGCCTAGGTGAAGTACAACCCCCTCATGGACCTACTCACCGCTGCTGGCTTTTTAGCGGCCTTGCAGGGAGTGCCTTGCAAGCAAGTGTGAAGTGGGAATCGCAACTCGCACAAAAGAATCAACACATTGTGTGGTATAGATATCAGATATAGATTAGATAGATATATGGAGAGTAGATAGATGGATAGATATATGAATAGATATGGTAATGGGAATGTCTCACATTGAGGGACTTCTTTTAAAAAACAAATCACCTGAAAAAATGGGTTAATTTTGCTACCAAAAAAAAAACACGTGATTTTTGCTACCAAAAGAAACACCTCCTTTTGGGACATGATTACCGATATTGAAGTTGCTCAAATGGTGGCCTCAAGATTTTACACCCAATGTATGCATGGCTTCCGTGCTCTCCAGGTACGCACTCTGAAACAAGGGTGCCTGTGGTGGGTCGCACCACCTTGTTCGACTTGGATCTTCTTAGCCCGCGGGTCTACAGGAAGAACTTACACCAGAGCAAGAGGTGTGCATTTTATGGGTGCTCAGGGGTTATTTCTTCGTTTCCAAAACGTGTGCATGCTTTGTACAACCCAAGTAGGCCTGCCTCCTTTACCTCATTGTGGCCATGCATGCAGGTTCCAAGAGATACAGGGGTGTGAGGCGTGCCAATCGTCTCATTCGACGTGTGATTTACCTGCTACTTGGAGGCATTGCAGCCACCTAGTGAAACATGTGTGTGTCAGAAAATTTTTGTTTCTAATATGTGTGCCAAATCCCAAGGTGCGAATATCTGCACAAAAAAGGAGTTCATTACTGCATCGAAAACCCTATGTCAACTCTTTTGTGGACATACCGTCCGATGGAGGCATGTTGCATGCATATCAAAAGAGTGACATCCCATGACAAAAGAATCCATGCCTGGTCCATGCCTGTCCTGGTCATATGGACTTCTAGGTTTGCAGCCATGTTGCCAGGCCATGCTGAAGAGGCACAACTGCAAATCGATCAGCGTTCCATTGGGCGCCTATGGTGCAAAGAGTGAGATGCCTTTCTGCATCAAGATCACAATCCACCAACAGATAAGATGGGTTTTATTGTAACCTTCATGTCAGTCTCTTTAGCTAAAACCAGTGGACTGTATGAATGATATGGAAATAAGGCTCTTATTTCCGTATTTGATTTTTTGTTGCGATGTTATTTATATATAGTTGACTTCACCCTGAAGATTCAAGCTATATAGCTTTTAAAAAAATGGGCATGGTAGTTTTCCGGGTGGATGGATCAAACCCTTGAAAAAGTCACCCAGAAGACACTTTGGGGGTGGTGCTTGAAATTCGTATCCAGAAGTCAAGATTGGGGTACAAATGATGCCGTTGTATGGCCTGTCTCCGAACCATTTTATATTAGTTATATATATATATATACATATTAAATGTAGTGTGCTTTACTCATTCATTTATCAGAATTCCCTTTCTATCTACCTATTTATCTATCTGTCCATCTATCTATCCACCTATTGATCTACCCATCTATCTACCTATCCACTATCCACCTATCCGCCTATCCCTCAGTCCTTTCTATCCTATCTATCCTATCGATATCCTATCTGTCCTATCTGCCCCGTATCTCTCTATGTTTTGATGCATATACCAATATAACTCTACATATAATATGCAAGTATGTGTTTATATATAAATAGACATATGTATGCATAAAAATACATATTTATTTTGTTTAACATGTATACATCTATTTTTACGTATCTATTAATATATATATATATATGTATAAAAAAAAGATGTATATATATATATATGTTGATATATATATATAAATATATTACATGTTTAATTCAAAATAAATACACACCTATATACATATATATATATATATATATGCATATCATATCTTATATATATATATAGACATATGCTAGCTCGATCTGCCCGGATCAGGAAACGTGTGACTTTGTACACTACGGCTCCCTACCTGAATGATCTGGGAACGACGGTGGATCCCTGTCAGAGGCTAGTAGTAGTGGTATGCTGCAAACACATGTGTGTGTGTGATTTACTGTTTTGGTCAACTGGTTGCCAGGGAGCGCTTGGCTCGCTTGAAGTCCACCTTCAACTTGAAACTGGTCCGTCGTTACAGAGACAAAAAGGGTCAGTCAAAAATCAAAGGGGGGCCACATCTCACCCAATCGGGTGCGTACCCGATCAACTTGGGACTGAAGGCTGGGATTGGTTCTTTTTCTCAGTCGCACCTGTTTCGCAACTTTTGTGTTTTGACAATTTCTCAAGATGTACTATGCTTGGTAGGTGGGATCCTTACTGAGTGCCTACGTGTTACTTGGCGGACTTGGGCCAACTGAATGAATATATGTCGGCCCCAATAGCTTTTCCCTTCCACCAGCTTCAAGTTACCTTGAGGCAGGAACACCGTCCTACTGCAGCCCCCGATACGAACCTGAAGTTGGAGGACATTGGCGATGATTCCTCGGACAGCGGAGTTGAACACCTTTTGGATTAAAAATCCAAAGCCAAAAAGTTGGGGATTTGGTGCATGTTGTCAATGCAACAACTTTGGTCACCACGGGAAGATCATTACATGCTACATGCATGGAGAAAATAGCTGTGTGTCAGGGCTTGCCTCACAGGCTTGATCTATAGTTTTTGGAAACAAGTCAAGTGATCTGGATGTCTTGTAGGGGCCACAAACCCATTTGTGCCATTGTCATATATGTGCATGCTTGCTATGCGGAAACCTCAAGACCGGCTAGCGTGCTGCCAGCTCTGAGCGTCTTGGATATAGAAGGTAATTCAGAAGAATAATATTCTTCATGAAATTCACGAATTTCATGAAATTCACGTTTTTCTGTTTGATTTCATGAAATTCACGGAAATTCATCGAATTTCCATGAAATTCACGAAAATTCAAGACAAACGTGAATTTCATGAAGCGACTTGAAGGTTTGACCGTGAATTTCATGAAATTCACGCCTAACACATGAAATTCACGAAAATGTGATAATTCTGCAAAAATCAGAAACGTGAAATTTCGTGAAGATGGCCATATGAATCATTCATGTGGGTAGCTGAACGTGAAATTTCGTGAAATTCACTTTTCTGGATTTGAGGTGTCCTGACCAGTTTACTCATGCCACCAAGCTGCATTTGATCAGCCATCAAAGATTGCAATCCACCCATAGCGCAGTTTCCAGTGGTGATTGCATCCTTTCTCCCATCCTGCGCAGGGCTCTAAAGGCTGCAAAGGAGGATGATGCCGCTTATACTACCCCTGATAGACCTACCCTGAGGAGGTGTAAGTCCAAAACCCCTGAGTCAGAGGCTGCACAGACCACAGGAAACAAAGGTCGGGGGAAAGGGAAAGCTTACATGGCTCTTCTGGCCCTCAAAGGAGCTTTGGCCAAGGGAAAGGGTCGTGGCAGAGGGGGTGGAAAGACACCAGATGCCCCAGAGGAGACACAACAAACAAAGCGAAAGAAGGCAAACATGCCCGATGTCAACAATGAGACTCCCGAGGAACTCTCTAGCAAGAAGAAGACGAAGAAAGCAGGTGAGACTGCAGATGACAGCCCAGATGCTTGTGTTCCCAGTAGCGTCAACGCAGATGGGACGGAACATCAGATACCTAGTGAGACAAAGAAGAAGAAGAAGAAGAAGCCGACATGTGAGACTGCAGAAAGCCCATGCGCTTCTGTGAACGCAGATGGGACAGAAGAACTGACGACTGAGACGAAGAAGAAAAAGAAGAAGAAGAATACATGTGAGACTGCAGAAAGCCCAGCTGGGACTGAGGAACAGACAACCGAGACGAAGAAGAAGAAGAAGACTGCAGAAAGCCCATATGTGAACACTGATGGGACAGAAGAACAGACAACAGAGACGAAGAAGAAGAAGAAGACCACATGTGAGGCTGGAGAGAGCCCGGAGGAGACTGACCAGAAGTCGAAGAAGAAGAAGAAGAGCACATGTGGGGCTGGAGAAAGCCCGGAGGAGACTGACCAGAAGCCGAAGAAGAAGAAGAAGACCACATGTGAGGCTGGAGAAAGCCCGGAGGAGACTGACCAGAAGAAGAAGAAGACAACATGTGAGGCTGGAGAAAGCCCGGAGGAGACCGACCAGAAGAAGAAGAAGAAGAAGAAGGCACCCGAAGAATGTACCACATTAGTGGTTGCCACCAAGTCGGGATCGAACAAGACACCCAACACTGAAGAACCAGACCATGAGGCTACTACCTACCCAGAATCAGCGTCAGAAAGGCGAAAGTTGAAAGCCCAAGTGGACACAGAGGCCAGCTGCACTGCAAACAGTTTCATCCAATCAAGACTAGAAGATTTGAAACATGTCATCAAGACGCCACGACAGTACCCACCTGCAAGCTATAGAGACACAATGGCAGAAAAGAAACAACTCAGCATTGGCCATTTCTTGGCCAAACAGGAAACGGAGGAGGAGAAGGCAAAGGCAAAGAAAGAGAAAGGTGCCAAGACTCCGGCCACAGGCTTGGGTTATTAGCTGTGCATCCTTCTCGTAGAAAATCTTGTTGAATTTTAAGAGGTGCAAATTTTATCTGGGACCTTTTGGATGTCTCCCTCTCTCTCTCTCTCTGTCTCTATCTCTCGTTGGGCAAAAAAATCACAATGCAACATCACAAATGTGCATGCAGTGCTTAAACCTGGCAGGTGCTGAACAGGCACCATTGAGACTTGTATGGCACATAGTTCATAGTTCATTGCAAGTCAACAAGCTTGACCCGGAGACTGGAATGAATGAGACAATATAGCAAGCAAATGCTGAGCTGAAATGTTTTACTGGGTGTTTTTTATCTTTTAGAGTTCCTGAGGAGGCGATCTGATACATCCACAACAGTGCCACATGTTCATTTCTCAGTTGCCGTGACTATTTTAAAACCAACCGACCTTCAATCACATGCGCTGACAGGATAGAATTGTCAAGGGCCTGGCTGTCCGTGATGAGCACGGCCGTTTGCGCCGAGCCAGCAGCTGAATATGCATATTGCCTGAGCTCATACCTAAGTTGGCAGTGTCACGTGCTTTCACTGTTTTCTCCGAGGTGAAGCATCTGACAGAGGAGCAAAAGGATCTGATATCAGGTCTTTCAGCCCCCAGTCAGCTTGATGTGCAGGAGACTTGTTCTTTCTTGCAAACCACCGGAATCAAAAAATATATGTTCTAAGTATACATGCCCCCTACAAGTACTTGCAGGAGCGCAGATGCTTGTATGCTGCAATGGACCGCCGGTTCAGCCAAGGAGGCAGGTTTGTTATTTGTTTCTAGCTTGTGTTCAAAACAAATGCCTATATTCAGTCAAAGCACTTTCAAACAATGTGTCCCCAGATCTACCTGCTACCTTGATGGAAAAGTATTCAGCGGCAGCTGGAAACCACAGCAAGAAGCCAGAGGCTCGATGAAACCAAAATTTTCATGTTTTTATTTTAAGTCCCTTCTTCTTTGGTCTGATTAGGTTTCAGCTGCTCAAGGAGTTCTTGCTTGCAGATGAGATGCACCGAAGCTGCATAACCGAACCACTGATTGAAAGACAGCATCGAATAATCGTCCACCGTGCTGCTGTCCTAGGCGAACTGTGCAGATCGAGGGCTCAGTTGCTTCGAACCTTTCCTGGCATATTGGATTGGCCCTTGTAAAGAAACATGGGATATAATCAGTGACATTGGAGCTTGTTGGCTCTCCCCTTTCCAGAAAAGGTTGTAAGATCTCAAAGATTTTGATTGCTCCTGGTGCGAGCTCCAGCATTGAATGCCGTGGTTTGCCCAAACCCTTCGAACCTCCATGATGGATATTGTGTAAAAAAATAACATATATATATATGTATAATTAATTCTATATTTACTTTCCTGGAACGGGGTTCTATTCCAAAATGCATGGCTTTTGACCAAGCCATTTGTTTGAGCATGCCAGGGTCAAAAAAAGGTTTGGGACAACTATTCGTTTTGAAGCCCTCAAAAATGCTTGATATTTGATATGCATATTGTTAAGCTTGTTTCAAAATTAGGGTCTCGAAAGTACCATATCTGCTAATTTTCCACTTCGGTTGGTCCCCCAGAAAAAGGCCCCCACAAGTCCCAAAAACTTTGATAAAATGTATAGGGAAACCACTGTATTTTGGGGATTTGTGGGGGTCTTTTTTGGTGAACCATCCCAAGTAGATTGCCAACCATATCGAAACATGTACCGCAGTAGGCAACAAGGAATTGTACATGTATTTTACATACATGGATGTAATGCATGTATATTTACACACATACATACATACATACATACATACATACATACATACATACATACATACATACATACATACATACATACATACATACATACATACATACATAAGATACATACATTTTTTGACACAAAAGAAATAGGTACAACTATAATGTAGTTGTACCTATTTATTTTGCGTTCAAACCATGCATACATATATACATACATACATACATACATACATACATGGGATCGAATCTCAACACCCCATACGTCCAGCCATTCCGCCAGTTGCTCAACTGTAGGCACCTTGTAGGTCACAAAGGGATGCGCCTCAGGAGGACGTAGGGGTTGATGCATACATACATATACGTACGTACATACATGCATGCATATAATTACTTACAAAAACCATATGTACACACACACATATATATATATATAAGATAGAGATCCACAATCCTGAAAAAATGGGGTGCTCTTTAAGTGCTTCGGGATCCCATATACTTGGAGACATCCCCATGTAGGGGATATGATTTGATGGGGGCCATACCCGCAATATCTCAGCCAGTCAATGGGTTGGGCATCATGATCGATTTACAATGGTAATTTTCCATTTGGTTTGGTATTGAAAAAGTTCCCCAAAATCGAGTGTACTTTCTACACCCAAAAAGTACAATAAAACTCAAGGTTTTTTTAACACCCAAAATGGCCCTTATTATTGTGGGATATAGGTCCATCCACCAGAAGTGAAACATTTGATAATATTATTTTCTTAGGGCCGGTATTTGCCTTAACACAATCCTGGAACTGCTGGGCCCCCTTGCAAACAGCAATCATTACCAATTTATGTTTTCCGTTCCAACCTGAATCCCGCTAGGAAGAACCGTGTGAAACAAGATGATGTCCACGTGGAAATGCCACTCTTTGAGCTGGAAATCCAGTATGGTTCCACGGAAGCTGGGAGGCGCTACTGCTTCCCACCTGCATTTTAAATTCAGTTTCGTTTTGTGTTGTCTGATTTGAGTGGTGGCCAGGGAATACATCGAGGACATCAAGAAATCCCAGCGTGGCAGGCCTCACCCAGACCGCCAGGTGCGGCCTCATGTTTGATTCACATGTCACTGATTCGGTGGATTTCTTTATTTTCATGTCCGCAAAAAATATCGCCATGGCAGTTCAAGAACAACCAAGTATCGGATCTACAAAGTTTACAAGCACACAGAGCACAAGAGCGGGCCTGGCCTGATTGAAATCAAAACCTGTCTTCACTTTCATCTTCTTTTGATTATTATCCCCTTGTGGGATCCTGGTGAATTTGAAATTGCCATGCCAAAACAGATTGTCATGCCAAAACATCGCACAGTAAATGTTTTTGTTTTGCAACAGTGTTTGGACATCAGTGCATTGACATATCCTTTCTGTTTTCTAATTCCACCATCCTCTCTCTGATCCCGGGGTGGCACTCCCATGCAGCCAAGGTGGCCATGAAAACGTTGCGGAGACCAAGATGTCCAAAAAAGCAGAGATCGAATTGAATCCACCTGCAGCTGATGGTGATGAGTCCCAAGAAACAGGGACCCCTGGAGGAAATTCAAGCCCAGCCGCTGAGGGCACCAAAAAAGCCCTTCAGGGAATGTTTGACGCAATGGTCCCTCTTTCAGGCAAGAAATCTCGAAAGAATGGCTCAGATGATGACAGTAGTGATGAGGACAAACCTAAAAGAAGGAGAGGAGGTCGTGCTGCCCAGAACAGGCAGACACAGGCTGAAGAAGACCCTAAGGCGACAACATGTACTGGTCAGGGTGGTTGTCTTTGATTTGCTTCCCGTTGCCCTATACACATCTGTGTTCTTGAAAGGTGAAACAAGAAAAACAGGACAAGAAAGACCTCGAGAAAGCCATCAGAGGGCTTCAACCTAAGGGCATATTGTTTCTGAAATATTTCCCATGACTTAATCTCAAAAAATCGCTTTTGGCCAAGGATCAAGACACTGGCCAACAAAGCTCGTGATGCCAGCCAGACTTTGCACGCTCTTGCAGGCAATGAGGCAGGATACCTGGGCTGTGACGCTGCTAAGTTTGTCATTGCACCCTGATACATGACCTTTTTGACAGAAACTATATCTATAGCTCGGGCCCCATGGGACGTTCCTTTTTGGGGACAGCATGTTATCTATTATTCTGTGATATTCTTTGTGGATCGTGCCGCAGTGGCTTACATCAGGCTATGCGGGCAGAGTGCATGGGCATCTTCCAGGATCTCAGTGGAATGGCTTCGAAGTTGGCCCCTAAGGTATATATCCAACAGCCAAAATTGAAAATGCAGCCACCACATGAAACTGTCGTTCCTAAGGCTGGAAAACAAATTTGCTGCTGGGTCCACTGCCTTAGATGTTTTGGACATCTACAACAAGAAGCGATCGACTATCGAGGCCAGCCATGTTGATCATCCCCAAAGATTATTCATAGTTGAAGGGTTTATCCATAAAACACCTTCGGGTGTTTCAGCCTTATTTACCTGTATTGGCATCTTAAAAAGTTAAGGCGCTTTGAAAGAAACCTCCCAAGACATTGGGCCTTTGTTGGTTGACATTCTCACAAAGCCATTAATGTGTGGTTTATATAGGATTGACCCTGGAGTCTTGATGTAAATAAACTGCATTTAAATATATATATATATGTGTGTGTGTGTAGATAGATATGTATATATATATGATATCACATAGCCACTGGGCGCTGATGGCTATAAAGAATCAGTTCCAATCACATTGACCCCATGTCGGCTTCTTAATGGGAAAACATATCATTGTCATTTTGCCGTCATTTTTTGGAATGACAGCTTTTTGACAGTTTGGGTTTACAAGGTCTTCAACAAGGTCGCAGAAAAAACAAAGTCCACAAACGGATTTTCAACTCCGGTTGGGTACAGCTGTGGATTGATTGTCTTGGTTTCCAAACTTCTGCCCAAGAATGGTCAGTCACTGAGATAGTTTTCCCCTGGATATATATATATATATATTATCAAAAAATGATGATGAATATATATATATATATATTTGATGTAGATAGATGTGTATATATATATAAATATGTATACATGGGTGTCTCTTAAAATGCGGGAATCCCCAAAACCCATCGGTTTTAATATTAAAGTTAATCATGCCCCAATTTTACAGATCTGAATCCAGCGGTCACAAAACCCCATGTTTAAACAGTTGATATTTTACCAATACCCATGGACAGTATATCTATGGCATCCTTTTATATTTTGGGAATGTTCATGGCCCTCACATTTTAACTTGCTGCCGTGGCATCCAACTCATCTGCCAGAAATTCGAAGATGCCGTGGAGTCTGCAAAGTCGGCTGCAAATGCTTTGAAGCGCCGTTTCAGCCTTGGATTTGCCCATGGTTCCCTCTAGGGTGATTTTGCCACAAATGACTTTGGAAATCAGGCATGAAGAAAAAGGGTGACAAGCCGGACAAGTCCGACACTGCTTGGACGGAGGAGGATTGGCTCGAATGGTGGGACAATGAGGCTGGCTAAAATATTCAATCAAACAACCCTTTTCTTTGATCGATGCGTGGATCCTTTCACAAACACTGGACTCATATGGATTCATGCCTGCATGCATGCATGTCTCTACTTGGCATGGACGCGAGAGCACGACGGCCTAGCTTTTCGATATGGGGGGCAAAATGCCAACAAGTAGGAACATGCAGCGAGCTTAGGATATACTGTGCTGAAAAGCAACGCAGTATTTTGCACTCTGCGTGGTGATTGTGGCTTTGCGACCGGGAAAAAAAAATTCAGTGGGTCCAGCATCCCATCCAGAAAATCGCTCACCACACCCTGCAAAGTGTCATACCACTCTGTCACCCCCTGCTGCCCAGTGGCCACGCAGGCTTCTTGAACGTCCCCAATGGCGAAACGATCCTACACGGGAGTGCCAAAGCTGGTGGATCAATTCATTACTGCTTTGTCCAGAGGGGAGGCACGGTTGGGTACCATGCAGAGGGTTTTCTTCAACCATTCTAAAGTTTTTAGCACCCTTGAAAAAATGCATGTAGCCAATGCCCAAAGATGAATTATTTTTTACCCATCAACAGACTGTTCCATTCAAAGGATTTGTCAAGATTCCTTTGGGTTTTTGTTCCTCTCATGACCCTGTATCCCAGGCTTCAATGGTGCGGTTGCGAGAGCTTACAAGTGCACTACTTGAGATGCCTTACTTCCTGGTCCCGAACCATGGCAGCGATATAAATTGCAGTGAATCATTTTGAAATGGTACTTCTTTTCGATCCCATGATGTGTGTTAAAAATTCGGGCCTGAAAGTAAAGCATATGATATATTATCCCAAAATGGCATTTTTACCCAAACCATACGATGAACCATTGCGTTTGAGGTGCTGTCTTTCACACACATTACAGTAACCAAAATTCGGTGGTTTCTGTTAGGGTGTTAAATAACACAAAAAACAATTCAATATCCCTGCAGACATATCCACCAAGTATTCCGATTGGTTCGAATGCATATGGTCCATTAAACACACGCGCTTGGGAGGCATTATGTTTTTGGCATGGTGGTGTTTTTGGTGCATATTCCTCAAAATTCCTCAAAGATCCCTGCAAAATTAAAACGTTCATCCGCTGGCTCTAGTCTAAGGCCAGCCATCTTGAACTTGGCTGAGAAATTTGAATCAGCTGGAGGGTGGGGATCCGAAAGGATTTTCAGCAAATGGGTATCCAAACAACCTTGGCGACAGTGCTTGCCACCGATCTTCCAGTTTGAGGTTGAAAGAGAAACTTGTTTGACAATTCATATTTTTCTGAAGTTCCAAGAGCGGACACTTTCCAAACAAACAACGCACTTTTTGTACTTGAGCCAGCGCATAAAAGTTGGGTTTTCTGACACTATCGGGTTTGAACAGAAAAGGTCTTCCTGTATACCTTGGGAGGGTCCATTTCTCAGCGGTGTGCATGAGGCAAATGCATTCGAACACTCTGAGCTGGACCGCATCCGACTGGGAATGTTTCTTCCTCATGAAGTGGTATCAGCATTCTATCACTTTAGATCTGGTGATCTGTTCTTTGGCATCCTGACTGGCACGCCGAAAGCGACCTAGCTGAAAAAAAGTATTGGTACGTTTGTTGTCGGCGATATTTGCTTTGGCAAGTGGGCGTAGATTTAGATTCTATAGATCACCTCTTACTTACAAAACGGGATTGTGAAAGTGCAAGCGTCAAAGAACTAAGGACATAGCAAACTATTGGAGCAACAATGCAGATTTGGCTGAGGAGTTGCGAGCCTACTGGGGTGAGCCTGACGATTCCCCTATGGACAAAGTCTTCCCGATCAGGTTCTATGGGGATGGGGCTGACACTATTGGACTCAATGCTTTCGAGCTGATGACTATGATAGCTGTATCGCCAAACCACTCCTCATCTTTGAAAACGCGGATTGTGTTTCTTGAAGATGTTTTGTTGCCAAAGCGTTATTTTCCAAACAATGTTTGTGGGAAAAGAATATGTGGCGTTCAGAAAAGAGGTGTTGTTGTTTTTTTTTCAAATCAAGGCTGTCGCTCAGAAACACTGCATATACTTCAGACGCTGATCGGGTGAAACTGCTGAATATACTGGTTTGGTCTTTTCGGGCATTGAGTTTCTTGGATGTGATGGGTGCATTTTGATTCATATGGGTTTTCCAATTAATAAAAGCAAGCCCCAAGATCCAGATACTTGCACCATCCAAATCAAGATGTTGTGTATACAAAACATGTTTCCACCGATAGGATGGCAAGTGTGCATGTTCCAAGGTAGTGGCCTCTGGCTGGGATGGCAAAAAATTCACCCAGAAGCACTACCCTAAATGGCACAGTCTCGCTGGCACCGAGCTTTGTGGAGGTTGGCGTGGTGTGCTGGATGGGATCCAGGGAGACCAAGACTTCCTCCACAAAGTCTTCAATTTCAAGAGACCATAGCTGCAACATTTTATCAACCTGGTTTCTATGTATGTATGTATGTATGTATGTATGGATGGATGGATGGATGGATGTATGTATGTATATGTGTGTGTGCAATACTTGCACCCTCAAAATTGTTGAATATGTGTTTTTGCCAGTTTTGGAATGTTGAAATTATGGTAACGGTTTTGCTCAAGTACCTTCCTGGTGTTTTGTGCCTGGTTTCCACAGAGGATCTTGGCATTCGAAGAGAAGGTTTGCGTGCCAGTACTGTGGGGCAGTAAGCTATCTCCAACCTGGTGAGCCTGAGTCACTTCTGTACACGGCCTTTGGGGTGGATGCAGCCCACAGATCCACGTTTCTTGATCGAATTTGAGTGATAAACATTTTTTTGAATCTTGGTGTCCTCCAACTTTACATGGTTTCCAAAACGCTTTTATGATACGAGAGATTGGCCAGCTAGGCTTTTGACAGATGCTGCAAGCTGGGAAGAGGTGCACGGCAACACGCCGCTCTGCAACATACCAGGCTTCAGTCCATGGCGATTCCAGACAGGAAATTCAAACAGCCTTTTCCCCATGTTTTACCCACCAACAAATTGACCAGTGAGGGGAGCAGTAAACAAACCTCAACTGTATATTCCAATTTCACTGTGTTGCTGGCTCAGGAATTTATCCTGACCTCTTGCACATCGTTGACCTGCAAATCCTTCACGATGTGATAGCTTCAACCCTCCTCGACATCACGGATGCCGCAGACCGTGCCCGTCCTCGTGAGGTGCGGCTGAAGGAGCTCTGCCAATGGTATCAGCAGTGGTGCAAGGAAACGAGCTCCATGGCGTGAAAGGTAGAAATTCAGTATCTATATAACCTTTTCTTAATTTTCCAGATGGGAAAAATCCAAAGAACGGGACCAAACTGCAATCAAATGTGGGGCGATCAACTCTAGGTATCCCTTATTCTGCAAGAGCATCTCGGAAACTATTCACTACGAAGATTTTGCTTGCTGGAGGAACCACGGCCTATGTTGCAATTTCCCAGAAGGTGTTGAAAGGGGCTGCTGCCCGCATGTTTATCTATTGGCTTTGCATTGCCCTGGTGAAAATTGATGACGGCTCTTTGCGCTCTCAGTTTCTTAGCATTGAAATGCAAAACGTCCGTGAAATATTTTGGTATTGTCTGAATTGTTTTTGTGGGATGCTTATGGTGCTGTTCCACTTTAGACAACTTAAAATTGTCTACGCTACATTCTTCGCAAAGTGCCTGAACTTTGCCAGGCACAGATTGAGCATTTGCTTGGCACTGACTGCAATGTACAGCACTTTTGCTGAGCATGGGAAACTTGGAGCATGTTCATGCCCACAAGCGTTTGGTTACGCCCCTTTTCATATGATTTACTGGCTTGTATGCCTTATGATTGTAATGCCATGGAAAAAAATGGGCTTCATAATCTTCGAGCGTGCCAAGGAAATTTTGGCCTGTGACATGGACCGAAGACCACCCCGTGATTCAAATGCATCTGGCGTATTTGAAATTCCGGTCTTCGTACAACCGAGCCTTGGTTTTTCTTTGGGCAACAGGGTCATATGACTTTTCAAAACCAATGTATCTACAAGAACGGGCATCCTGTTTTATATGTCCTAATACCCCTAAAGTTATATGGTTTGGTTTCTCCACAACGTTCACTGCATGGGGCCAAAACATATATGTCTAGTTGGAAGGCACATGTGCGGCAAGCCTGCTTCCAAATTTTTACCTGGGCACCTTCAAAATATTTTACAAAGTCCGTAACCCAAGACCTAAATTCTAGATGTGCATGGTAAAGAAGTGATTCATTTCAGCTTCTTATATATATATATATCTTTAAGAACCCCATAAAAAGGATCCTGGCCCCACAAAAGAACTGCAGTGAATTTGGTTTCTTTGGTTGTTCCAACTCAGGGTTAGCCAGTCTGGCACTGGATGACGAAGTGATGCGGTGGCCATTGCGACCGAAGCAACACCAATTCGAGCATTTGATTTTTGATTTTGGAGTGTGGGTCAACCCACGCCATTTTTCATGCATGTTGGACGAAGACCTGATAGGTCGATTGAAAAAGATTACAACCCACACGCATCCAAAGACAATGTCGGTGCGTGCCTTGGAACACTATGCCATTTGCGTGGCTTCGCTTTGGGTCGGAGACTTGTTCGGCTGAAACTGTGGTGGAAAGAAAAACTGTCTCGGCACTTCACTCCGAAAGATTTTCATGTCATTTTCTTGTGTGATTAAAGTGTTTTGTTCATGGGAAGCAAACACACACACACACATATATATATATATATATTAAACATTATATATATATAAGCGCGTAATGTTTTAGTCCTTTTTTGCTCGAGCAGCGGAATACAAGCGTACTTGCTTGCCATGCCAGCATGTTTTGTATGAATGCTGGTCAATGCTACTGCTTTGAGTGCCTCCACAGAGAGCTGACAAGCTCGCCATAGGGTTCGGGTCTGGCGCACCAGCAGAGAGCTGGCAAGCTCGCTGTATTGTTTGGGTCCGGCAAGCCCCAGAGAGCTGGCGAGCAATGCTGGCCAAAACTGCTGCTTTGAGCAGTGGCTTGGTGCAATGCTTGTCAAGTATGTTGCGTGCTTTGAGCAGCACCTCTGTGCAAAATATGAGGGGTCAAGTTTGTCTGCGATGCCAATTCATCAAAATTAGCCACCGGTGGGTTTCTCAAAAAACCTAAAATTAGTCTATCTGGTCGGCTGTCATATGAATCGTTTATCTGGTCGGCTGACCTCTGCTGGGATGAACCGGTGGACATGACTGTGATAGTCGCTTGGTTGTCCTCCATAAATTTGACTTGATAAAATTCAGGGAAACTGGCTTTGAGGGAGTTAATGTCCGCTGCACTACAACCCGTGTCAACGTTCCCATTACGGATCTCGTCAATTTCGGGGTCGATCCTGGTGAACACAGCATCTTCCTGGGGCTTCGCGGCGTCGCGAGCTGGTTTACCCTGAAGCCTCTTGAAAAGATTCAACTGCTCAAACAGGGCCAGCATTGGAATGCCCTCAGCTCTCATGCTGTGATTTGCGGCAACTACCTCAGCCTCAGTTGAAGATATGGCAACAACCGTTTGTTTCTTACTGAATGCATTGAAGGGGTAATAAGTATTAGGGCCTACAAGCACTATGGCACTGCCAGTGGTACTCTTGCTATCATGTTCACCTGCGTGATCTGCATCGGCAAACAGCCAGAGTTGGCATTCGTCAAAGGCATCCCCAATAAAACCATCTAGGAAGTGGTGCTTTGTACAATTAATGTATGACACCAATCTGTGCAAGGCAACATCGCATTCTATGGACCATTTTGTCACTCTTGATGCTAAGCTTTGTGTGGCACGCAACAAATCAAACCTTGCCATTCTTGCGGCAAATAGAATTTTCATCAAGATTTTGCTTGCCACTGGCTGGAGTTTGCCAGGCTTTTCATCTTCACTGAGCGTGGGCCGTGCGATGCCGGCATCTGTGAATGGTGTTGGCACCTCTTTTAAGGATGATGGACTGACTTTTGCAAGATTACAATAGTTTTCTACACAGGACCCCAGGAAATCACTCATGTCATACCTCACTAAGTTCACGGGCTTGGCCATGACGCCAGCTTTGGTCTTCACAGCGTGATCAACCCCCCTGAACTTAGAGGCCTTGGCTTCCTTTTTCGCCTCGCGTTTGTCGCGATGTGGTCCTGGTCTGGCTTTACTCGCCATTGCAAACTGCTTGAATTTGTCAGGTCCGTCTTGTCCATAACAGAAAACTGTTTTTCCTGTCCAGAATTCATTTGTTTGATTGCTAGATGTTTTCCAATCGTCTGTATAAACATCATAGCCCCCCTGATTGTTCCTGTCGGTGATGCTAGGACAACTTTTTAATGTGACCTTTTTGTCAAAGAAAGTTATGCGACTTGAATTTTGACAAGTTACATCTCCCCCTCATCAACCGGCTGGTACAATCTTTCTCGGGGTTGTATGTGGTGTCGGATCCATGCCATGTTTGTTTCGTCATGCTCCCACCAGTCTTGTGTTCTGTGTTGTGCGGCTGCTGACTTCTTGGCTTCAAAGGCGAATGCAAAAGGGTGTGCCTGCGAAGGCAACCGGATGTTGTGAAATTCACGGTGCA